GCACATGGAACGTACATATCCACTTTGTGATGAATATCATCACGTTCAACGGTTGGTTTCTTCCGTGGTTGGGTGTTGTTTTTCATGCATGATATAAGTAGAAGGGGATTGCAAAAGATTTAGCTATTTCATGGAGGTCTGATATGTCTGAATTCTAGTTTGTTTCTAATTCTAGTTTGAATTTATTTTTTTCTAGTTTGAAAAGCATTTCTTCTTCGTGAAGATCACGGAGTAGCTCTGGTTGTAAAGGTGGGGTTGCACTGATTGGCTTGTACCAAAGATGTAAAGGCCAAACTCTCAAACGTTTCACTCTAGCGTACACAATATCTACACCATGGGTTTTCATGGGTACGAATCATACTAACGCATGTATTGAGAGCTATCCATACATATTATATACATGCTTACATGTACATACACGCTGTAGGTTTGCCACCAAGGACCACTTGCAGTTTAACAGGGTTCGAAATATTGGGTGCATATGCACCTTAGTGCACGTAAAATTTGAGCTGTGCATGTCTACGTGCACCTAATCTGCACTGGTCCATGTACTGGATAATATCATCGTATATGCAAGTTAGTGTAGGTAAACTTTGAGCTGTGCAGGTATTTCTGATATCTACGAGTATCCGCACTGGGCCATGTACTGCGCTCATATACAGTAGGTGTATATGGATTTTTATTTGCTGCATTTACTGTTACCACCTATACAGTGTTAAAGAAATAATGGCAATGGTTTCTGAACAGTTTTTAGCACGATCTACTAGTACACTTCTCAAAGTCTGAGTGGTGCAGGTAAAATGTATCTGGTGCAGGTAGCTTTCAATGTTACCTACACCAGTGCAGGTATGCAGAAGAAAAGTATTTTGATCCCTGAGTTTGAAACTACCTGCTCACGTGCACGCAAACTGGTTGCCATACTTGTCTTCCCCGTTGACGACAGCGGTTCTAACATGGATCGTAATGCCGTGATTTGTAGTCATGAAGACCATCAGAACCTAATACAGACAACAAATGAGGTTAACGGTCGCCCAAATCCCGTAGCGACTGCATGTTTAATGGGTCTTAGTACTGTAACGATAAGCAGGTTATATGGCTCCGTCGCACTGAGGCTAACGTTCCGTGACTACATCATAATGTACAGTACATGATACGGCTTGTAACTGATTGGACTGCGCCGCTTTAACAACGGAACTGCTGTAAAACTAAAGAGGATGTGCGCGTTTTACACGCCGTCCAATTTTCCGCATGTCGTTTGAACACGGAGCCGAATGGGACCATAACTGCCGGTCAGAACGACATATGCTAGCGGTCAGGAGTCAGTTGTTGTTTCCCCCCTTTTTATGGACCAGATTTAACGTCGTAGGTTTCGATGAGCTTTTAAATATTCACTAAGCTGGAGAGCGGAAGTGTGATAGCCGGTCTATTTGAGAGCTTTCGCACTAAAGGGACACTCGGGCTTTAATAAAGGCATTCAGTGCAGTTTTTAGGGCTTGGAAACCAGATGTTTCAAAGTCAATATTGTCGATTATCGAAATACTAAGTTGAAACAACATTGTCCCAATGTATATAGACATTCATGGAGCGAAAATCCCAAAAATCCTGACGAAAAACGGCTACTGGGAGGACCTGGATTGATCTTTAGGGTACCACCCAGAAAATAAAGGACTAATCTTGGGGCTTGTTTCTGCAGTTTTATAGGCCTAACGTATGGAATACTGATTCAAGTGTAACAATATCATACCGATTGCCTTATTCAGAATATTTCCAGTTTTGCCGCCCTGAAATTGCATTGGATGCCTTTAATTTGGCCTCGAGGTGCGATAATATTAGGAAAGCACTGCCGCTAGATCTTCCACCAAAGTCTACAGTACGGTCATTATGCAACATGGCTATTATAAAAGCACACTTTATCAACGATACGACTGCCCAAGGTCTTTTCCTATAGAAACTCAGTGTGTTTAGCGAGAATTGTTATTGCCATTTTAACGACCTGGTATAGGACATACAATACGAACAATGGGCCTAGCTAGTTGAACGGTTTATTGCAGGCAATATGATCATTGTATGATGTCATCGCAATCTAATTTGTAACGGCACTGGGTAAAACGATATGATAATCAATATCGTATATAAATTGATGAATTACGGTACATAGAAAATGATTGCGAGACCTAATTACAAAAGTTATGTCATGCAACCAAGTTATGTCACAGCCTTAGAGTGGTCTACGAAACTGGCGTTCCGGTTCCATGCGTTTATGCTTACTTGGATGTCATACCAACAATTACTCAAATGTGTTATAGTATATTTTCTCATCATAATAGTTATCTATATTCTCCCTATAATATGTATTTCGTATTTTACAGGGGAGACAATAAGCATTGGTAACTCAATCACCTGTTTTGTTTCCCCCTCCATTTTGTAAACGGAGAAGTATAAAGAAACAGAGCAAAAATACATCGACCACCATTCGGCGATGATTTAAAATCCAACAGTTAGGGGTTATTGACCCGCCCCGAGGTGAATATGGTGTGATAAAGCCTTGTCAGTTGCTATAACCACCGAATAAAGCCACCGAGTGAGCGCAGCACTAAGATAAAGTTTAAGACCTGGATATTTTTTCATCTTCTTAAGCTTAAGACTGATTGCCAGGGTAAGGTTATTAGTGTGTGATTCTTAAGGAAGTTGGAATTATCTTGTCAATACTGCTGCTACTGATAAACTGATTGAGGATCTCCTTAGAGGATCTACACTCGCCAAGTGTCTATTATCAGTTAGGGAAGATGAGCCTGTTAGGTGTGATAAGATTTTATTGTCAATAAGAAACCATGCATCGTATGTTGCTATAGTAACGGTACTCATGAATTCTTAGCTTTAGTGTGTTTTGATTTCTTTATTTGGGCATTTTTAACTGTTGTTTCAGAACATGTCCTTTATTGATATTCATTCATTCATTTATTCATTTTTATTTATTCTTTACTTCAGGTATTCCACATTTTGATCGATTAAATGGGTAGAATTCTTACAATAGGGGGATACCTATATTATAATTGGTAACCACTTCATAACTGTTTTATTTTGGTTGTCGACGCTTATAGCATTGTTATACGGATTATGATTATATTGGAGGCATGTTGCACCATTTGGCGTTTGAAAATGCAAAGTTATGTCTCCAAATACCGCAAAGAAATCTCATTTATTAAGAGTAAGATATTTAGTGTAATATTACAGCAACGAAGTGTGTTGAACATATAGCTGGTATAGACGGAACCAATTTTGTGTGGCTACAAATAGCCCTCCTTCAATAGACATGGGGAAGATTTGTAAGATAATGTTCCGATTCTCGGTAATAAGTTTGCCGGGTATAGCCGTAAAATTACCACAGAATGTGCCATTAAGTTGCAAGCAATTGCAAGTACTTCGTATACTTGTAGTTATAGGTACATTTCGTTCGGGAAGGAATGAATGGTCTGTATTACATTGTTGAAAGCATAATAGGTTGTAAGAGAAATTAGACATGTAAGCTCATAGATGTAGCAGTCGTGTGGTGTTCGCTAGTTAAACTTAAAGAAAGTCCCAACAATACAAAAAGTTGACAAAAAAAACACATTAATGTTATAGCTATATAGTCTACATGGTATTTCACAATAAGCGCACAGTATAATTGGTACAGTTTAGGGACATTTGCTATCCAGAATGGCGATGCTTGCTAAGTGTTGGAATTGGAAAGAATAAAAGCATCCTTTTTACAGTAAAGGAAAGGTACTAGAGGAACTTTCCAGATGAAAATGGATAGAAGGAGCAGACATCGTTTTAGACATTTTACCGAAGACGAAAAAAATGTCAGTGATACACGTATTATGTGGGAAAATTGTTCTTTGAAAAAGTGGATTCTTTTTTTATTTCTGAGCCTCTGCGAACTGTTGAGAAGAGACCTAGTGTTCATTTTGCTGAACTGGTGAATGACACTAGACTTAAGGAAGTGTATGCCTGGCACTGGAAGATAACGTTCTCTCTCTTTATGTATATCCTTTGAATGTTGTGAATGAAGTAAATCTTGTCATGATCTTATCACAAAGTGTCACATATAGCTCTACTTGCAGAAGGGGCCATGGGGTGTTTTAAAAGAGTTGTACGTGTATGTCCTCTTGCAAGGATTTTATAAAAGGCATCCAAAGTAATTTCAGGGCGGCAAAACTGTATTTTCAGTCAATTTTCTGGTCATTCTTTTAAGGTAGTAAGTTGAATGAATCTTATCCCATAGGAAACTGATATCTGTGACTGTGAGACAAAAATTCGATGTCGCCGACAAAAAACAGTAGTTGTTGCTGGTTTTAGCTTTTAAATTGCGATACCCCCCCCCCCCCAAAAAAAAAAAAGTTACGTGCGTGATATGATGAGAAAAATGTGGTCAAAAATGGCAGTTAATTTTTTTGTTATATCAGACAGATTTCCTCATCCAAAATATTTCATTCTGTTTTGCCGCCCTGAAATTGGATGGAAGATGCCTTTACTGTGTCTGTTGGCTGAACTTAGATTCGCAGAGACTATCCAGAACCGTGCCCCAACCCATCCAGGCATGGAACTAGACAGGCACTGTTCTGGATACAATAGAGGCCTTAGCCTAGGCACTGCAATATTGTGTTGGAAAATGGCAAATGTTTTAGCATGAAAGTTCATCTATGTCGGTACAAGTCATTATGAAATAAAGACTAAGCTTTAAGTTCCAACACTAACTACAAAGAATTGGGACTCAATGGAGTCATGGAGTCAACCGAAAATTTGGGGTAAGTCCCAATTCTTTGTAGTTAGCTTAGTCTTTATTTCATAACGGCAAATGTTTTCTTTGACCTGATAAGTGCGTTGTACTGCTGTACCGTTAGGTATATCACAATAACAAGATGACATGATGATAATAACGTTTGTTGATGATGTCCTTGTTGTGTCAGACATGTTGTTGTGTACTTGTTACTGACTCCAGTCTCTCGTTGTTTCAGCTGTGTCCTGTAAACCCGGCTGTCACGACATCTGGGGGTACTGTGAGGAGGAAGGGGAGTGCCTGTAAGACCTTTTCTTATTATGTTTACCGAAGAAAACATACTGTTTTTGCTACGTTTCTTCCTCTTCTTCCGTTCCAAACACTGACCTGGCCAATGACCTGATTTGTTGACGTCTCATAATGTTGCAATTTTATAGTAGGAGGGATTTATACTCCTGTCTGACCATATATATGTGTTTGAGTAAGAATTAACAGAGCAGACCATATGCGAAGGTAAACATTATCATTTGCTTTGCAAATGTTACCTTTCTAGCATTACTCTTATCTTAACATCCGAAAACCCACACATTACAGAACAAGTGGGATCTTTTGTCTTCCTCTGTCTTCAAAAAGAAGTCAAGCCCAGTAGATGTAGAAGTTTGGATTTCTTGTGTCTAGTTATGTATTACCTGCTTGTACTTATATCAAATGTTCCTTTTGTATGTGCAATAAGCCCTCGGGCACGAGTTTGAAATAAACAATTTCAGCATCATCAATACAAACGACATATCTTATATAATACAAAATACTAGTAAACCAAATACAACTTTTCTATGAACCACTCTTTATTCATGAAAGCTGAAGTTGGCTGCTGGCCACTTTTCATTGAGGTAATGAGAGAATTGTCGAAGAGGTCAGACAAAATATATCTCACTTTTGTGTAAGTAGTTTGTACTATGTATGTATACATCAGAATAATGTAAAACATCTCACACAGGGTATCTATACAATTATTTCAAAGCCACAACGTAGCTTTTGACTAGATGCATATATTTTAGCAAGAATCAGTCATTTGCCAGATATGATTATGTCATTTTTCCCGTTGCCAGCAGAGAATTTTTTTCCATAATCCAAACCAACATTTGAAAACTATAAATGCAAAAAGAAATACAACCTCAAGAGAGGCGTTCTGCCGAAGTGCTATGCACAATACATTACTACAGTACAGGTTTCGCGCAGGCGCAGTACGTGCTGTCAACGCGAAATTCCCGCCAAATAATATCTTATCGTCCGTACGTGACGTTTGACGGTTGTGTCAGATGCGGCAGGGCGGGGTCTGTTGTTCCGGACAAATATAGACACGTCAGAGCAAAACGCGTTAACGCGGCGCCCGTTCCCACGATATCGGGTGATGTCCCCCCGGCACAACGCAGCCCTGTCCATCACAACATCACAGCTTGAGTTACTGCTGCCATACATAACTAACCAGCTGTGCAGTAGTCAGTGTTGTACTGTAGTACCCCTGGGGTGGGGTCTGGGTGTGGTCGGGGGTTGGAAAAGACACTATAAAGCACGTCGGCAGAACTGCACGTCTGCTCTAAACCCGGCTTTTTCACGGTTTTCGTTACTCTCCAAGCAGAGGAAGGGGTTGGGATTATGGTGCAAAAAAAGAACCCTGATAAAAAATCCTAAAAACACACGCCAAAATATCCCCAAACCCAAACCTCTGCTTGGAGAGTATACTAGATATTGTTTATTTGACAGATCTCCATTAGTGAGTACATTGTATAATACACTAGTCTTCCTGGAGTCATAAAAGTTACAGACATCTTACAACGCATAACATAACCTACTGTTACAATAACACTAACAACCTATACTTAACAAACAACATAAAAGGGAAAAAAAAGCTAAAATAGAAGAATGAAGATGAGATGTATTTTCCGACACAACGGTTGAAAACTATAGACGGGATGTCATCCTGATAAAAATACACGAATACGATTTTAAAAGAGACGTTCTGGACAACTTTACAGGTTTAGCGCACGCGCAGAGCGTTCTGCCGACGTGCTGAGGACACGACGTACTGCGCCTGCGCTGAATCCCAGAACGTCATGTGCCACAGCACGTCGGCAGAACGTACTGCACCTGCGCGAAACCCGTAAAGTATTGTACATCATGAGCATTTCGGCAGAATGCCTCATATAAGGTTGTATTCGCTCATACCATGCGCTCATACCATGCATACCATAAGGTTAGCATTTCGACAGTAGTTTTTAAATGTTATGTCGGAAAGAATATCCTCTGCAACAGGCAAAATTCTGATGCAACGTGACCAAAAACCCAACGAAAAACGCGAAAATACGGGGTTCTGCGCAGGTGCAGTACGTTCTGCCGACGTGCTATGTGGCACGCAGGTGACCATCAGATCTAGACCGTAAACCGCCGGGCCACAGTCACCGGCGCACCGCATCAGTATGATGACGTGAACCCTTCCAAGTGACGTGTTGAGACCTTCACCTCACGCTGACACCATAAGACTGGCGTGTTTTGTGGAGAGTAGTATAATATAAACGCCGCTAGCAAAGCGTCAGATACGAAACGACTTCCTCGAAAACCACCTTGAAAATAACCTCCGGGGGTCTCCAGATGGAGTCATCATGTTACAAACACACTACAGAACGACCTGCTAGCATACGGCGGAGAGAGATATTATAGATCAGGAAGATCAAAACACAGTGGTGTGGCGATGTGCTGAGATACGATACCTCAAGGCACAGTGATAACAAAAGATTATGATACTGGCTTGAGTCATGGACATGGTCTTTATATCGAAAATGTGCTGCGTTTTTTCGGAAGTGCACAAGGGTGTTATCGTTATCTATTTTAAAGTCTTTATTATTACATCTCCCTGTCAAAATCATGAAAAGTCATCCTAGTTATAATCCTGTAGTAAATTCCATAACCGGGCATTGAAAGAAGACGTGCAATGACTCTCTTTTGATATCACGTATAGTCAATGTTGCTTCAACAGAGGTTTGTCTGTGTGTCTACGAACGTGTGCAGTAACTATCGAAATGTTGGGCGCACAGACGCGAGCACAGATCAAGAGAAACGATCTTTTCTCAGAAATGTCCGAATGGAAATTTACGTCTGATTCAGTCCGCTATGACGTCTGTCAGGGCGGCCATGATGTGCTCGGACGTCCGAGAAGACACCGTCAATAGAAAACGTCGTCCGTTTGAAATTTTCTCTCGGCAGAGATAAAATACAAATTACCCCCAAACGTTTCTTTCAATCTGTAACCAATTTGCCAACTGAGTGAACTATTCCTCCCAATCTACCTGCCATTCTATCAATGGTTTCCCGCGAATGGAGGCAGGCAATCGCTCAGGCGGATGGCCGAGGCTATGAATCAGCGGCCCGGCCCTGTCAGGGAGTGAGGCATGCAGGAAAGTGTCGTCTGAAAGACGGGTCTGGTCGTCTGGTAGGGCGGTGCTACAGGGGATATCGGGCTTGTATCACGGGGAGATTGCCATTAACTAGTCACAGATCTGTGCTGTGATAAATGCCCCTGTTCTGTCGCCTCTAGCAGCGATTACGTTATCAACGGATAACAAGAAAGTTTGGTACCGTGTGAGCAAATTTTCTGTGACGTTGAAAGTACAGAAAGTGGTTGTGACATCCCGATTTCGACAAACGTAGCGTTTCTGATTCTTACTGAATGCATGTTTCATGTAGTCAAAAGCTACATTGTTGCTTTGAAGGAATTGTATAAGTACCCTCTGTGTGGGATGTTTTTAAAAAATTATCTAAAGGCATTCAATGCAATTGTATTAAAAAAGAGTCGTTGTCATATATGTTGTATCAACAATATTAAGAAAATTTAGTGTGGTGTTAGTCTTGATATATAAAACTCATCAGCAGCACTGTTTGATATCTAGTACTTCTGAAGAACTTGCCATGCATTGTACCTGCTACAACTATTATGCAATGAAGTTTACAATTTACAATTACTAAGTAATCTAATTAACTGAATGTCTGCAGCTGCCAGCCGGGATGGACAGGAGAGCTGTGCCAGGAGTGTGACCTGTTCCCGGGGTGCCAGCACGGCACGTGTCACCAGCCCTGGCAGTGTAACTGTGAGGACGGCTGGACAGGACGCTTCTGTGAGAAAGGTGAGGCCTACCCACTCTTAACGATCTAAAGCGACCCCTAGCGCCAGGGGGTAAAGGTTCTGTCACGCCAGTGCTGTCGTGTGGCGTAACAGACCGATCCCGAATGTCCTTCACAATGATATTAGAAGCTCAACCAATGAGAGAATGGCAATTAGCGGTACGCGGTTCGACCAATGAGAGGGTTGCTGCATGTCCATCAAATATTTGCATATTTCTGTGTTTTGACCGAAAGTAGGCGGGGCTTCAGGAAAACACGAATTTCCTCACTTTACCCAGGTGCAGATGAGTATGTCTGTTGTCTGTTCATTCGTTTGTCTGCGTTGGTGGCGGCATGAAAATAAACTGATAACTTGAGTGTGCCGTCGCCTTGTCTTGTAATAAATGTTGGAATAGAGGAGAGAAAAAAAGGTTATGAGCCATTAATGAGCTTCGACCTATCTCCTTAACATCGTTGTTGGGCAAAGTCGCGGAAAGTTTTATCGCACAGTGGGTCATCTCGGACATCTTACCCCAAATTGACTCTAAACAATTCGGATGTTTAAAGGGCAAATCTACTACACATTGCCTCCTCGACCTGACCAATGAAATCTTCAAGGCTACAGACAAACCAGGAATGTTGTGCTCGCTGGTATCAACTGACTATAGTAAAGCGTTCGATCGCGTTAACCACAATGTAGCCATTCAACGCCTAATCGAGCTCGGTCTGAGGCCTTCCCTCACCAGCTGGGTTGTGGACTTCCTCAGGGACAGAAGTCAAGTAGTCCGTTACCACGGAACTCTCTCCGAAAGCATGACTGTAGCCTGTGGTCTACGGCAAGGAACTCTACTTGGACCCCTACTATTCATTGCGTACATCAACAGTGCCGCAGCGCAAGCCGCTTCTAAGCACTGGAAGTTTGTTGACGATTTAAACCTTCTCGAAGCTAGAAACCCAATCTTAAAGCCTTCCAGTTTACAACAAGACTTAACTGATCTGGACACGTGGTCACACAAAAGCGACATGGTGTTACACCCGCGTAAGTGCAAAGTCCTACACGTCCAGTTTTCCAAGACATTGTACATACCCCCACCACTTAAGATAAACAACATAGAACTTGAACAGGTCAATGTAATGAAGATCTTGGGACTGTACCTCCAGTCTGACCTGAAATGGAATACCCACATTGATTCCATCTATAACAAGGCGAACCAGCGTCTATACCTACTTCGTAACTTAAAGCACTTCCGCGTTCCAGCTGTTGACCTCGTTACAGTGTACACCTGTTACATCCGTCCGGTACTGGAGTACGCGGCCCCAGTGTGGCATCCTGGACTGACCACTAAACTCTGTAGGAGAATCGAGAACGTCCAGCGTAGAGCGTTGCGGGTCATCTTGGGTGCTGATTTCATCTCCTACTCCAAAGCTTGCGTGCAGCTCAACCTACCATCACTTAAGACCCGCCGTGAGAAACTGACTTTGACCTTTGCCAAGTCCCTTGAACACTCTAAGCTGCACCGTCATCTACTGCCACCGTCTAGAACCTCGGTTAGCGGCAGGACGACCCGCTCATCCCACAAACTAGACTCTGTGTTCTGTAGAACTGAAAGATATAGATCTAGTGCGATCCCTTACATGATTCGGATGCTGAATTCCTAGCTTTTACTTCAGAGTACGCATTTTACATATATATTTTACTGTTCATAATCGTTTACCCTGTCTGTAATTCATGTGTACATCTGATATTTTAAATGAACGACCTTTTAACGTATCTTATATTAATAATTAATGATGTATAATGATTTTAATGTGTGCTAACCTTTTATTAATTAATCAATTGTAATTGGCAGAGCACTTCAGGTCCCAATTACATGGAACCTGCCTTTCTGTGCAAGTGATGAATGACGAATAAACCATTATTATTATTATTATTATTAGGTCCCGTCGCCCCATGACAGATAGCGATGGATGGCGAGAACTCGGTGATTCTGGGACGTTGCTCCGGCACTACCTAATTGATTGTAGCCACTCAGAAATCAATGATATCACTGAGCTCTTTCATTCCAACCTTGGGAAATGGCCAAACTAATAAATAAAACAGTCAAACAGAGCAGTTGACAGGTGTGTTACCCTGTTAAAACGTATACTGTGTTTGCTATAGAAACAGAAAGACAAGAAATAAAACTTGAATCACAACATCAGAAGACTTTGAAACAGGTTTGAATTGTAATGTTCAACACAAAAAATGGACTCACCCAACTTTTTTACAGTTCAACAGTTTTTATCAAGGAATGAGCAATCCACGGTTTCTGTGACGTCACGTTATGCAAATAGAACACGTGACTTAATGAACAGTGGGATCATAAACTAGCTGAAAATTTCAAGCCAACATTAGAAGACTTTAGAATTGTTTGATACGAAGGCATCAAGTTTACTGCAATGTCTCCAAACTTTGTGACCTACGGTGGGTTCACACTGGATTGGTTCCAAGTAGTACATACGGCGCCTTGGGTCTAGGATTTGGTCCCTGAGCATAATTTTCGTCATATCGATATTTTCTCAGCCATCCAATTTGCGCGGGATAAGTCGGTATCAGATCTTCCTGAGAAGGGGGTTAAGCGTTGCCAAAGGCAAGTTGCCTTTCATATGGCAGCGCTAAGTTAGCATAATCTTCTAAATACACGCCCTGACGTCATACGCACATCGTGTGTTGCAAATGAAGTCCAACAACAACAACAACTGAGTAGCGTAACAATACCTCATGAACAATATGATTTGAAACTTTGGAGATGTGACTATGAAATGCCCCATCTAACGTTTGAAACTTTGGAGAAGTGACTATGAAATACCCCATCTAACTGCATAAAATCCATTCTTTACGCACACCTTAAATCATATGTAAAGGTCCCGTTCTTAGCTGGCATGTACCTTTACGCCTGGTTTAAGCTATCATCTATCATAAGGTGTACTGTTAAAGAGATGATTTCATGCAGAGAAACTCTCTTCGGTACGACTTAATGGATAAATCCTAACGAAAGGCAAACCCATGTGTCTGAACATCTGTCAGTGATACCAGGTTGTTCTCCACAGGGAGGAAAAGTTTCTGTGATGCATTAGTGTTCCGCGCAGCAAAGTTTGGGTTTTTAAAGGGTCGATGCGGCTTCCCCACCATTCCCTATCGACCTGCGTTCCCCCACGAGATTCGGGCTGAGAGTTAATACGGGACGCGGATTTGGCGGGAAGAGGAGCTAGCAGCCCCTCGATCCATCAACCCTGACAGATTTATCGTACGAATCATCTCCAATATCTGATCCTGAGGAAAAAAAGTGGCGGGAAATGAGCCCGAGGTGGTTAAAAGTTTTCTGTGAACGAGCGGCGCGGCGTCTGTCTGACAAGGAAATCACGACTGTTTCTGTGTCAGGGTTTCTGTGGCATCATTTGTATTCCTGAGGTAATTGGACGACATTTCCTGACACAGTGCTCCAGTCAGTCTCATTATGTCCACCTTCGTAGGCGAAACATGTCGTTTTTCCTCCCTTTCTCCTTTCCCTTCTTCTAAGCCAAACCTGTAACCTGGAATGGCTGTCACCATGACAACTGGTGCAGTAGCATTATGTAGCAAGTTGCAGGACGGAGCTGGTCATCATATATATCAATGTGTTTGGGTAAGAATAAAAAGAGCAGTTAGTTAGGCTTCTAATAGTGAAAAATTATCACCCTTGAACACATTTTTGCGCCAGTAAGAGATTTGATAAACTTCTACAAGTGAAAAATGCGCTAATACCCCTCTAACTCGTTTTTCATTAGTAACTGACTACAGCCAAACAGATTTTGGCAGACCTACTACAGAAGATTAAAGAAACTCCAAACCGTGTAATGTAGCCATTAGAATTTACGTGTAACATACAAGCGGCACTAGTTGGTCACTATGTTAGTTTATCTGTCGTTGTTTTTAACGAAGGGACTTTAAAAAAAAACACCGGGACTACAGCGATAGCCGCACGGGGCATCAGCCTCCGGCCAGCCGGCTTGGCGCCGAGGTACAAACGAGGCTTTCTAGTTAGGACCCATTTGGTCTAATTGACAGACGCTTGAAAAAAAAACCCTTAAGATTTAGAAAGTTTGTGGCTGCCCAGATGTTGAGGTTACTTAGAAGACGAAGTGTGGAAAGTATTTCGCGACGTTTTATGTGTAAGACATCAGTCTTAAAACTGATTTTTTAGAAAGGTTGCTCTGCTTGGACATCCTTGAAACAAATGCCTTACTACATTTCTGTAACTTGCGCAAATGGGGAACTTTTTCTATACATTCACTACGCAAAACTTTCCTCGCGTGCACGCTTTAAAGTTTAAGGTGTGCTCAAAAACTATTTAAGGAAGTTATTGCAAAAGAGAAAACCATATCTGATATGTATCTGGCACAAAACTTTTCCACCTTTATTAAAATTTGCCGCCCCCAAAAATGGTTTTCTGTGACTCGGGGGCAGGCAGACAGATTACGTACCTAATACCGTGGTCTGCTCCGCCACTTGTTGCTAACATTACACAGAACCTGCCGACTTAACCTGGCCACCTTCGCCTACACTCCGGATCCGGGGAGCACAAAAATCTTCCGTTTGTGATGGATGCTACAACCATTGTTGTCGGGTGAAGCTTTCAGAAGGCTTTGCTTCGCTTGATAGGTAAAGTGGGGTCACCAGAGATCACGAATGAAAAGCGAACAGTATCACGATCTCTCTTTGTCAAGATGTTTTTTCTTTTGAAAAATGGAGCTGTTGCAATTGAATCTTTGCTAGATACTGGCACGAAGCTCCAAGTCCATGGCGCCCCGGCACGGCAGTAGAATGTAAGGAAAGGTGAACAAGAGTTCCACGATCTCATACCTTTGCCAGATGATGTTAACGTATTTAACGGAGGAATCGTGTTAATGCTTCTCATTGGTTATGCAAATAAGATCCTCGTTTGCATGAATACATTTTCAACTGAGTAGCATTTTATCATATATTATGCAAATGAGGTTCTGA